ATTAAAGCCAGGGTAGTTGCTACCAGATTTCAAGTCAGAGTGGCTTGGTGTCTGCTCTCAGTATTAACTAGCAGGAGGCCAGAGAACTCGGGGCCACCTTTGCATAAGGAATTTTTCGCCTTTTAAAAGTTAAGAAAGAGTTAAAAAGCAAAAAATTCCATATGCAAAGGAGGCACTGATTCTCCCGCCTCCTGATCGGGGAGCAGTGAATCATGCCTTACGAGCACACTTACGTTGAGCACACTTACGTTGGGCGGACAAGAGGAGAGTTAAGAGAGTTTCCACAGCTGGAAAACATATGTGGATCGGACGGAGGGGGGGGAGATTCAAATTTATTGTAATTAAATATGTAATTTTTTTGTTGTGGAGTGTGTGTGTGTGTGTGTGTTTCTTTCTTCACAGCGGTCTGGTGGGGTCGGAGGAGGCGGGGGGCAAGGCGGCGGAGTGCGGAGGTGACAGGGACGTTCTCGCCACTGTGTCCCAACAGGCCAGGAGTCTCTTGTTTATGTCTGCCATAAACGCGAGATGCCTGGCCTGTTGGACACAGTGGTGGCTGGGGGAGGAATGGGCTGGGTGGGTGGGGAGGACGAGTGGGGAGGACGAGGAGGAGAGGAGGAGGAGAAGAGCGGTGAGTCCAGGCAGGGAGCAGGTCGGGCGGGGGGGGGGCTGGCTGCAGGCCGGGACAGCAGGATTGTTTGTTGGAGGAGGCGGGCCAGGAACTGGGGAAGCTGGCGGATCGCTCGGAAGCCACATCGCGCCCTTTCCATGGAGGCTCCAGTCCAAGCGATCCGCCGGCTTCTCCAGTTCCTGGCCCAGTGCCTCCTTGCAGAAGCAGCTGCCGCGCAGCAAAGCGGCCCAAGGTGGCAGGAACGCCCCGCCGGGCGAAGGAGTGGCGGTGGCAGCGGCTGCTTTAAGCGCTGCCTTGTCTCACAGCCGGGGCTGCTCCGGGCTGCCGACCGCTGGCACGCGGTCATGCGAGAGCCTCTGCGCAGCGCCGGGAGGCCACGGAGAAGCTTCGCTCCGCTTCTCACTCAGCCTTCCCCCAGAGGCGATCTAGGACTTCCAGCGGCAGAGCCTGGAGAAGCAGCGGCTGCAGGCTGGGGCAGCGGGCGGGTGGCGGCGATGGGGCACTTTGCATCGCGGGAGCCACCAAGCGCCTTTGCTGCAGACCCGGGCGCTTGGCGGCTCCCGCGATGCAAATTCCCCCCTCCCCGCCGAGGCCGACCACTGCCCCGCTGAGCTGCTTCGCCAAAGTCTGGGAAGGAACTCCGCTGGAGCTGGCGAGTCTTTGAAGAGATGCCCAGCTGAGCCTCACCAAGCATAAACCTCACCGCACGTCACTGCAAGCCATAAATATGAACAGGGCTCTTACTTTAAAGATCTGGATTATGTGTCTATAAATGTCTTCTCAAGAGCTTGAATCAATGGTATTCAGAGTTGACTTTGGCTGCATCAGATAAATCAAGGGTAGTGTAACCTGTTCAATTGCTTCTCCGTGGTACAAAATTTACTGCAATGGGTACCTTCCCCTTCTCTGTTGTTCCTTTTTTTCCAATATACTTGTTACCCTTTTATCCACTCTCTCAATTTTGATGTTAAGATTTATAAAATTTGAAAAATCCACCTTCCTTCCTGCCTTCCTTCCATCCCCTCACCTTCCTTCCTCATTTTTACTTCAGGAAATCACCAAACGGGAAGCAGCGAGTAGGCAGTTAAGCTGTATTCAGCTGCCTGTCGACTCGTCAGTGGTACGTAAAATCTGGCATGAACACCACAAGCTTTGTCTGATAGTTTTCTCTTCCCTCAATCTCTCTCTAACTCTGCCTGTCTCTCTGTCTCTGTGTTGTGAGCAGTCACATCATTGCCACTGTTCTCATTATGATAGATGTTTGGTTATGAAAGTGTTCTCATTGTCAAGTTGACCTTGATTTTAAGTCTCTTCCTTCTTTGAGGGAATTAAGAGGGTATCTCTCCAGTGAGCAAAAACCTCTTTTAGACTCCTACTTCTTAATAGAGTTCTTTTCATAAACTGTAGGCCCCCTACCAGCATTTCTAAAAGAGGAAGCTCTTGAACTTCCTACCAGCTTAGAAGCTAGCAATGTGCCCTGACCATTGCCCTTCAGCTCTCAGATGGATATAAATTCTTGCCGCTTGCTGTAACTTTGGTTTTGATTGAGCCAAGATAATTGATCATTGCCATCTACCTATTAATATACACTGCTTTTTAATGAATATAAGTTTATGTTTCCAACTTTTGGAGACAGAGCATTATTGTTTCAGCTGTCTCAGTTGTATTACCAACAACAAAGGAGTATGAATGTAGGCCCAGCGTTCATTCAGGTCAGTAAGAAACTTGCCCCATACGCCCAACATGAATTCTAAGAAAATATAAAACATATAGATGCACGCCATAAACTTCCTTATAGACATGCCTTACAAATTGTCACTTAACCCTTTAACTCTCTTTTTTTAAAAAGAGGGAGAAAAAGGGAGAGAGACAGAGACACTAGGAAAACGTATCAAAGACAGACGGGACCTAAAATCAAGCATGCTTTGTGGATGTTCATATGTGAGAAGACTGTCCTGAAAAAAGCCATTCTAGAATTGAGGCAGCTACTGACAGCATATATAATATATAACCAGAGACCTTGGAGAGTTTATTTTTAATTGACTGGAGGTTAGAAAAAAGAGTACATAGGAGAAATCGGGGGGGGGGGGGGGAAGGAATATAAATCCTTCTTAAAGGATTTCCAAAATGTTGGTAGAATATTGTTACAGTCTTTTAAAAATGAATGAAAAAAGACAACATACCATTGTATGCATCAGATATTGACATTACGCAAATCTACTCCCCTGCCTTAGATCTATGAAATCAAGCACATCACAAATTCTGTTATCCTTGCCATTGCCTTGTCATGTTATAAACCTGTCCTTCCCTATTTTCCTCAGTTTCTTCGGGCATTGGAAGTGTGGGCTTCTGTTTAGATCCTTTTTTTTTTTTGACTGCTCAGATTTCTCCAACCTGGTGCTTTCCAGAGATATTGAAAGTACACCATCCTCTAGCCAGCATGATGTACACTTCTGGAGAGCACCAGTCAGGACAGCTGTTATAGCCATAGGCTGCCTTCCCTACACACTGGTCAATTCCTGGCACGTTTCATGCTTATCATGAACAAACCATACTTTTTGCTCATCTAATTTTCATTCAGAAAGGCAAAGTAGGAGAGAGAAAAAAACAGGTAATTTTTCAGGAATCTAGGTGGGTAAGGCTCGCCTGTGGTTAATTAGTGTGATTAACATTTTCAAGTTGCTGTTGGGTACTATGGCAAGATGATGTTAAAAATGGGTTTGGTGCTAAAGGGAGGGAGGATAAAATACACTGGCACTTGTATTAAGTATCACATCAGACAAACTGTCCCCTAATAACTAAAAAAACCCTGTTTGTAACACAGACTAAAAAAATGAAGAAAAAAAGCATACTGAATTCCATTTTTGCCAATTACAGTGTTATCGAAAGGCTTTTAATGCAGACTCCCTTCTTATTTTAAAGGATGATTTTACCGACAAGTATCGTTAATGCTTTTTGAATTTTTTAACGAGCATTATCTTCAAATATTTGTGAAGATATTTTTGCGATATGGACCCAGCATCATTATACATGATTTGTAATATAATATACAAATATTTAATTTGCATGTTTAATAAAACTGTAAAGACACAGGTCTGCATAGGCATTTTTCTCACATTCACATGCTCCTCTTTAAGGCAGATTTGAATTGCAGGAAAAGTTTGTTGACAGGATACAATGTTCCAGTGGACATTCTAAATTCTCCAGGCTTAAAGCTAACCCATTACCCATTAGATTTTGAAGCATATGAACAGAGATAATGTTTTGGAAATATTTTTATTTACTTTATTTTTGTTTTATTATGAAATTTATTTACTGCCCATCTTGTGTCAAATGATTTTGGGTGGCTTACAGCATAAATATTTAATTAAGATTGCAATTTAGCTCAAGTTAATCATTTATCATTCAGAAAATGAGCTCAAATGCACTGTCTCAATAAAGAGAAATGGGCAGCTATGTCACAACCACATTATGAATTCTGAGGATCATTCTCAAGGGACCATTTCCATTATGACTTTTAAGCAACACAAAATAAATAAAGACCATCCCTTACATTGGACTCAATTATTTTGGTATAAGGGATCGGTTAATCATGAAAGACTGAATGCTACTCTTAAATTAATTATGCATTAGGGTAACCAGTAAGACAAAATTACTTTATCTTTTTTTACACTGTACTTCTTATACTACTTTATGAAGAAATATGGGTGAGACCTAACAAAATTACTAATGAATCAATCCATGAGTTGCAGATGTGAATGGATTACTGCTTTTAGCCTTATTTCAGCATTAAAAGAAGCAGATGACTTCTAATATGTTTATTGGGAAAATATCTGAAGGAAGCGACATCAACTTAACTCTGGGTCAGAATAGAAATCTAGTCACAAGTTCATTTTAACTGAATGTTCTGTATTCTTCAGAAGCATATTTTAAATTCTCCCCCACCTACCATGATTCAAAATTTGCTTAAAATAATTTTACTTTAACCCTGAAAAACAGGATTCTGTCCTGTTGGAAGGAGCCCAAGGATGTGGATGCTGGCTTCATTGCCTTGATCCTGACCTCTAAGTGTTAGTGGGAAAGATTTGAGTGGACATTGGTGGAATCATGTTTGAATGAATACAATTCACTGGATGTCAAATGCAAAGAAGAACCCTGTCAAGTAAGGGATTTTCTTTCAAACCTCCATGATCAGCGGCCAAACCCAAATGGACCATCATGCAGAACTCATGCTCTTTCACTGTTTTATGTTTTTCAAGGGCTGAATAGGAATAGAAAGGTGCAGGGGTTCCTATTCATGAATTCCCTGTGCTTAGATGCAAGATACATCTTTTAAAAGTCCACAGCTTGATTGGAGAGAAATGCCTTGCAGATATGCTTATCTATGTAGATACACAAACACACATTTAACTGGAAAAAATAAAGGTCAGTACATTGATGATGTGACCTGGATGCTAATTAGGCAAAATTTTCAGTTACTTTCAAAAGTCTGCGATTGAACATTATCCTCCCAACCAAACCCATTCCACTTTTCAAGTTTTTCTCAAGCATCAAGTGCCATCATGGAGAGCTAAAGCTTTTTAATACAGCAGCATGGGTCTTATTATATTTTGCTGGGTTAATTGCCTTTCTTTCCTGATTTCATAAGGTTTTGTGTGTGTGTGTTTGTGTGTGTGTTATCACCAATTTATTCCTTCTGTTGACTGTCTTTATGAAGCTATCTTGGGTCAGAATTCCCCAAAAAACAGCCTTCAGTCCTTCTGGGCTGTTTTATGTCTGGTTCATATAATAGGTTATTACATTATATTAAGCCACAATTGCTTAATTGTAGTTTCCTTAATAAATCAAAGTTAACTGAGTTCAAATATAATAATTAATCATTAACCATGGCTTATAAGATAAAGTGCTTATACACAAAATTCATTAAACCAAAAACAAATAACAAGTGGCTTAGAGCAGTGTCTTAATATATCACTATTATCATTTGATTGCCCCAGAGATGGGTTCCAAAATGGTAATAATGCTTGATTTAAAAATGAGGTGAAGAAAGGAAATGAAGGAGACAAAGACAATTACCAAATCAACATTTAAAAAATTCTGGGATAACCCTCTAATAGAAAAAAAATCTTATGAATTGCATTACCATTTGATAAAAGAACCTTGACAGTACAGTAAATGCCCATTATTTACAGACTGTTGATTCTGATTTCACTGTCAGAAGCCAAAAATTATTTTTGAGGGACAGCCCTTCAATTCATCCTAATGATTGGATGAATTAAATCAAGGATAGGCCCAGCTGCAGAATACCCATTCCCCTGAATCATATGGCTAAAATACCAGTAGAAGGCCACTTCAGATTTCATCCTTCTCAACCAGATCTCTGATTAATCAATTTCAAGAGGTAAATGTGAGGGTTCCTTTCAACTATTCAAATGAATGGTTCTGTATTTTATAGGAATCAATCTGAAAAGTATATACAGTATGTTTTGATTCAAGGCTGCATTCAATTGACTAAAATTTCTGCCTTCTCCACCACCTTCATTTAGTCAGTATAAAAACCAAGACATACTTTCAGTTGTCTGGTTAAAACTATTGTGATTGGGCTAAATTATTGATTAGAACAGAACGAGTGATAAATGCTTGGGAATTAAGATGTGTTAGAGTTCCTTTGAAGACCTTGGGGAAAGGGAGGGTGGGAATGTTAGAAGCCTGGGACTTAACTATGCTTCTAGGCTGAGTGTCTAGCAGAATGAGATTAAACCAGTTGTACTTGCTTCTCTCAAGTCTTTAACTGCCCTTTCCAAAAGTGTATTGTGTAGTGAAACTGGACTACAGATGTGGAATTAAATATTTGCATGCCTCATGTTGTGGAAGGTGGTGTCCTACTGTGGCAACAGTTCAGTGGAACAGTGATTCTTGTGTTTGGGGTGGGGGAGAAAGAGTCCTCATATTCAGATGGGGAATGGCCAGGTAACTTATCCTATTTTTCCTGCTGGACTAAAACACTTCGTTTTTCTCTAGGGGGATGCTACTAAGTCCGATTCTGAGGGGGAACTTTTCCCCCATAGTTTGGAAGAAGAGTGTGGACTTAAGAAAAATTTTTCAAATCCAGCTTGTAAGTAACAATATGATTGCTGCTGTTTTTCCTGCAAATAAATGTTTTCTATTTGTTACATGAAACTTCATGTATATTTATTTCCTTGCTTGTGAAGTATAAAAAAAAGCAGAGAAAGAAGAATTTTCTCATAACTGAGTCCATCCATCATGCTGCTAGTTGTCCACTTCTTCTCTTTCCTTCCACCTTTCCCATCATTAGAGCCTTTTCCAGAGAGTTCAGTCTTTATATAATGTCTCAAAGGTGCTTTTTTTTCTTTAAAAGGCAACTGGGCTGTTTTTTTTTCCTTCAGGAAGGAGAAGAAAATGTTTCGCTTCTCACAAGAAGCTTCATCAGTTCTGGTGGGGGTGGGATGATGAAGCTTTTTGAATGAGAAGCAAAATGTTTTCTTCTTGTTCCTCAAGGAAAAAACAGTTGAGTTGCCTTTTGAATAAAAAAGAAAGCATCTTTGAGGCAACTATGACTGGATGACTGAGAATCTCCATAGACATCTTTATATAATGTGTCTGAATTAGTTTCCTTAGGAATATCTAGATCGGGGTGTCAAACTGGCAGCCTGAAGACCAGATGTGTCATGTGCAAGCCACACTCACCCCAGCTCCACAAAGGGGAAAAACATCAAGAAACGTCACATGACAGCAACTTGATGCCATGAGTTTGATACCCATGAACTAGATGGACTGCAAAAACCTGGATTCATCATTATATGGCAGCAAAGGGGTTGAGATGCGTCTATATTTGTTACTATCTAGGGGCAAAATGTACCAGACTTTTGGTAATGCACATACAATAGCTGTGGTACCCTGAAAATAAGACCTCCCCGGATAATAAGCCCAATCAGGCTTTTGTGTCTATGCCCTAAAATAAGCCATCCCCTGAAAATAAGCTCTGCCTGAGAATATTGCAACACAGCAGCAGCCATGAGGTGACCACACTCGCTGCCTCCTGTACCTCAAAAATAATAAGACCTCCCCAAGGCCAAGTGCTTATTTCGGGGGTCAAAAGAAAATAAGACCCTGTCTTATTTTTGGGTAAACATGGCATTAACGATGTGTGTGTGTGTATGTGTTTATAGCTCAAGTCAATATGATGTAAGAAATGTCTTCAGAAAGATTCTCTTTACTGGAAGAACTCGACAACAATGAGAGAGGACCATGGAATAATGTCGATAATTTTGAATATCATCATACAGTATAAAGCTCATATTTGGGACAAAAATCTATGATAAAGAGTGAAGAGAAAATATTGCTCTGAGTGTATCTTAAGAACGATAAATCTATGGCCGTCATAGGTTAAAACCCATTAAATCCTGACTTCTGTGATAGAAAAAAAAAGTGGTTGCAGTTCAGGAACAACAAGAAGACCATTTCTAGCACACCTCTGCTAGATGTGATTGCTGTCCATCTTGCATACTACAGAGAGGAAGCTGGCCTTGATAGTATCTTAAAGTAAGAGTAGGAAAACAGAGGAGTGCTATCAGTAATTCATGAGCATTCATTCATGGTAAAAGGACCAGAGTACCTGGAAAATGAAGATTTGAGAGTCTTGTATTAGAAGATTGAGAGACATAAGGAAGAGGAATGATCAAGACACATGTGAAAGTTGTCTTGATCTTATGAACTCATATGTCTCTGACTATACAGGGCATGATACGAATGTTTCGTTTCTTATTTTTTCAGTGATGGCTCTTTGTGACCGCCCAGAGCTAAAGAAGAGCTTGACTCCCCCACTTATCATTCACACAGCTGCTACACCCATGTCCATGCCAAAAAGTGCCATCCATGGAGAAGTGGCTCAGGACTATGGTTCCCGAAGAGCTAGTGGCATCTCCATGGATCCTAATACATTTGATCTCAAATCCCCGGTATGTCGCTCATCTTCTCCCTTGTATCCTTTACTTCTTGCCATTTTGCTCCCAGTTTGCCAGCATATTTTAAAATTAATTTATTCCAACATTGATATCTTTTTGTCATTGTTAATTGAGTTGTTGCTTCTAGCATTCTGTTGATATCCCTTGTATTCTCACTTGCATCACTTCAGGTCAGTGCCCGGAGTTCTCCACATAGCCCATGGAGTGCAGGAAGTAGCTGGAACAGCCGCAGGTCGAGCTGGAACAGCATTGGGCGGGCACCTAGCTTGAAACGCCGTACAAACCACAGCAGTGAACATAAATCGCTTTTGTCAGGGGATGGGAAGCAGAGTTCAGAAGAAGGGGACAGCTCGGATGAAGAGCAGTCCAGCAAGACTGGGAGCATCAACGGCTCTATACCTCACCGCATGGAGTCACTAGAAACCAAAGGCTCCTTTGACTTCCAAGATACCCTGCAGGTGCCTTCTCTTTACCGGACCAGCAGCATCCATAGTAGCCACAGCTCTGCAGCAGACTACAATGGCAAAGCCACCTCAAGAGTCTTGATTCAGCAGCTTCATTTGGATGATCCACTCCCGGAATGTGATGACATGGATGATGAAGGCAATTTAGTAAGTGAGAGCCAGCTTACTTGGCACCTTTTTGCTTGTGTTATGATTGCTTGCGATAGAAGAAAGTGAAATGTTTTCCTCGATCCTTGTTAATTTGCAGAAGCATAACATATCATGCCAATATATTCTTATCTATTGGGCACTGACATATTTATTCATGAATAAATAACTGAAGCCTGTAGGCTAGAGAAATCACATGGGTCATAACTTTAATATGCCCATAAGAGATTGTGTCATGTCATCATATCACATATCACAGTACATCACAGTATATAATAATATATCATATTGGCAGAGCTAACACAAATACTTAAACTTAAGCAGCCATTTGGCCAGAAATATCTAGAAGTTCTATATCAGGGGCATCAAACTCAAGGCTTGCAGACTGGATCTGCCCCGCAGGGTGCTTAGATCTGGCCTGTGGGGCTGCCCTGGAAACAGCAAAGAACCGGCCCACGGTGCCTCCATCAGCAAAAACGGAGTCCATTTTTGCTGGCAGAGAACTCAGGCCACCACAGGTACCCCTGGCACGAGTGACATCGAGCTGGCCACACACCCTGGCCATACCCTCCCAGCCCTTCGGAGGTCAAACACAACCCTGATGCTGCCCTCAATGAAATCGAGTTTGACACCCTGTTCTATTTGATTCCAACTTCCTATACTTTTTTCTTTACTCTAGCTCTCCACTTGTTATCACATAATCTTCATATGTCATCTTCTTGAATCAATATCTCCCATGAACTCCAGAACTTTGTCTTTGAGATAGTCTACTATGTAATCACACAAACACAAAAATCCAATTTGGACCTAAATGAATGAGATGCTGGTAATGGCTCTGTTTCCAGTCTCTCCCCCTCAGTTTTCCCATATGCTAGATATTCTGGATTTCAATCACCACAATCTCCAGCCAGCATGGCTAAAATATTGTGGACTGTTAATTCAACTCACATGCAAGATGCCAACTTGGGGAAAAACTGTTGTAGGGGAGAAGAAGATGAGATGGAATAACATTTGGATGCTGACTTTGGGGAACTACCTATCATAGACATGATGTTATGATAGCTAGTTCCCCAAAGCCAGTATCCAAATGTTATGGATAAAGAGGAAAGTTATAAATCTTCTGTATCATATCAATCATCTGGGTAGATTTCATGCCACCTTCAGCAATTCTTATGCTAAGGAGCATGATTGTCATGGAAGGAGACCTGTGCTCAAGAGGATCTGTGATATATTCAGTTCCAAGCACTGCTGATTTGGAGTGAGGATATTTTAGTATGCACCATCTTATAAATGTTTGTGAGGATTCTTCTGAGATATATTTGGCAACTGAGCAAGTAAACAAATATGCGCTATGGCTTGAAAGAAAGAGGGTGATCACCTGGTTATCTGAGATTCTTACATACAGATATGTACATATCTTTTTCCGTTTCCGTTTCCCTTTTCTGCTTTCATTGGAAAGTAAGGAAAGTAAGGAGAAAAGCATATTGACCAATGCATTGCTGGACACAACCATTCCAGCCATGAGATTGAAAGAGAAGGTAACCTTGGTCAGGATATAATTTTTATAATTAGAGCTGGTTACAGTTTACCAACCTGGTTACAGTTTGGCCTGAGCAAAGGATAAAATGATCCTACTCCAGAAAAAGCAACCTATATTAGTTGTTAAATCTTATTTCATCACAGGAGAAAAACAACTAAAGGTTAAGGGCAGTTTAGGGCTACAGATTGGAGCTGAGCTAGCTGTAACACTCTACTTAGCAGTACAGCTGTGCAACAGAAATCTTTTCTGTTTGGGGATTAGAGAGAATGCTCAGCCTTTTCCTCCAAACTTCTTTTTCGCGTCAAAACAAGAAGGAGGAGAGCAAACTCAAGCGCCATTAGCCCAAGAATCTGTGGTTTGTTTGCTAAATGATGTGAGAGGCACCAGCATTAAGTTGATTGCCTTCAGCAAGATATTCTTCACGCACACACAGAAAGAGGTAGAGGTGATATTAGCCTTTTTCCCCCCTTCAAAGGGCTATATAATCTCCTTAATTTCAAGCGGTGATTTCTTCTACCATTAACTGTTATTAGGATTCCTAAGTAAGGGCAAAAATTGCCTCTTTGTCTCATGGGGCCACAGGAATCTTTGTATTAACGTCAATATAAAAAGGCAGTAGTCTCATTAATGATGGGTTTGGTTTTTTTTCCTGAGCCAGTAAGAAGCCATTTAAGAAATGCTAGTTAACATCAGTAGGCAGGGTATTAAAAACAAGAGAAAAAGTCACTGGCAATTTTAAACTGATAAGGCTACATTAGCTCTACGTGACAGCAAAACTCTGCCATTGGTAGTGGGACCCATTAAATCCCAATGTTGCTCAAGACAACAGAAAAACCATCAGAGATGGTTATAAGGAAGCAAATAGCAAGACAGAAACCTAAAGCTTAAATGTGACCAAGGGCAACTAGAGAGATTGTACATAACACCCATTAGGAAGGAGCATGGTCCTTGGGCACTCGGAAGATGTGGAATGTAACTATTGAAATAACCGTTCTATAGAAACTGGAATGGCGAGCAAGGACTGCATGACAGCATTCTGCTAGATAATGATACTAAATTAATTAGCCTCAAAAACAATTAAGGCTTGATGAAATTGAATCCAATCTGTCAAACTCCAATTCTGCAACATCACATTTAAAAACAACAGTGAAATGAGAAGGAAGACCAGCTTTAATTAGAGAAAATGAATGGGCTGGAAGACTGTGCAGCCAATGCAATCCCAAGTTGCATTAACAGAGGGATACAATCAAGATCAAGTGAGGTACTAATACCACTCTATAAAGCCCTAGTAAGACCACACCTTGAATACTGCATTTGTGGTCACCACACTATAAAAAAAAGATGTTGAGACTCTAGAAAAAAAGATGTTCTTGAGACTGAGGACCAAAGTAGACACACCATTAATTATGCACTTTCATAATAAATAGCAAAAGCAGTATATACTAATGTTTTTGTTAAGTAAATATAGACCAAGTGGACTTTCTAGGAAGGACTCCATTGGTAACTGAAGTACAATAAAAAGCACCCTCCAAAGACTGTTCAGGCTTCCTGTCGTTTCCTGTTTATATTGCAAAGTTAACAACTGCAATTGTGTCAAATCTAGTATGGCCCTGAAATATTCAGTAGCTGATTTTTCAGTCTTGTCAATTTTTAAAATGAAGATATTTTAAAAATATCACCAAAGAGGCATCACTTGGTGGAGCAACTCTAAAGGACTTGGAAGAGATATTCAAATGCTACAATGTGTTTATAGTACACCCACAAATATCAGTGTTGTGCAAGCTACAAGGCTGATATTTGCTCCACCAAGTGCTAGCCTATAACACATTTGCCACATACCTCCCAAAGACCAATAAGATCTCACAGGTTGGACCTTCTCCGGGTGCCGTCGACCAGACAATGCCCGCTGGCGGCTCCCCGGGGGAGAGCCTTCTCTGTAGCTGCTCCGGCCCTGTGGAATGATCTACCCGTAGAGATCCGGACCCTTCCCACTCTCTCGGCCTTCCAAAAAGCCACGAAAACCTGGCTGTTCCGGCAGGCCTGGGGCTGTTGATCAAGGTACAGCCCCACTTAAACAGAATGTTTGGTGTGTTTTTTTTTTAATTGTATCTCTTCTTTATTTTAACTTTTACTTTTATTAATGTTTCTGTAAGCCACCCAGAGTC